TAGAACTGTTAAAAATTTAGTATACTATAACCACGTGTCAAAATGGAGGCGCTTGGGGAAGAATTCTTAAAAGGTAATTTTATGATTTATCTATAATTAGAATAACTTTTATTTAGGACATTTAAAAGTATCACTACAAGATAAGCTATTGCCTCAATTTTGGAGTCATTTTGATATTAATAAGGCAAAGAAGAAAAATTAAAAAATATATATATATATATATTTTTAGTCAAATTATGTTAGTCTACAAGCGGTATCAGAGGCAGTTTCTGATCTAACTAGCTCGATAAGTTTCAATAATGTAATAGAAGAAATGAAAGGACTCTATCCACTTCAAATGATTAGTGGGTGCGTCACCTCAATAACCATAGTAACACACTCATTAACGATCTTTCTCGTAGTGTTAATGACAAGTGGGAGGTGACGTGTAAAGTATTGGGGCTATCAATATGGGCGTGGCTACCAAAAGGAGGCATGGTGTTTAGAGTGATGGAGTTGCTAGTGAAGGAATCATTAATAGCATATGAAACAACTAGACAAAAAGGAGGAGAGAGAGAGGGAGAAGAGATGGAGACTGAAACCCATACTGACCAACTTTGGTACTGGAATGAGTTTCAGTCTTTGGTAGCTAAATTATCATTCCTTGGTCTGAGGGACAGGTAGTCTCGTGCCCCGCCCCTTCGCTTCTTGAGGAAGGGTCTGGAGACACTCAAGGCTTTTTTGTTGCATGCTGGAATGTAATTAGTGCAGCTGATCATATGACCGGATGCATCCACGTGTTAATTTCATGTGATAGACACGCCCCCCCAGAACATGGCTACCAGAAGTATTAAGAAGGAATCATAGCTAAAACTCATTTCAAATCAGTTTTTATGATTGATTTGTTTTGTTTTTTTTTCATTCTTCTTCTACTTATTAAATGCATTTTGTTATCAGATCAAAACAGTATGATAGTATGTTTAATAATGCAAAATTGACTAAAATTGTATAATTATATAATGATAGTAATAAGAATGCTGTAAAAGCCATGGCTATTACAGACATCATTTGCAGATGAGGTAGAAGTAGTTCCCCAAGTTCCATAACAGTATGTACTCCTATAGCACTGCACAAGCATAAATATTCGAGTAAGTATTAGATAACAATCATAGGTGAACTGACCATTTCTTAACTTGTTGCTCATCAAGAGGCAAACTTGCTAGCTTTACTCATTAACCAGGGGACTAAGGAAGAGTCTTTCTGTTCCAGAACTTATTTTCCAGAGGACATAACAGTACTGAGCCACAGTAGTGATCGACATTTTGTTTGGCACTAAATCCTGTCAGCAGGCACAAAAAATTATCTTAATCATCGATAACAGACTTTGTGAGACCCATTTCTGTTCCTTCTTGACTTCTCTTTGAACCTCAGACCTCATTAAACTCCTTCAAATACTACCTATCTTCTAGAGGCCATTTTATTAAAATTATATCATGTGATATTAACAAATTTGCG